AAAACCTGAAAGTTTGAGCATTGGTAGATTAGGTTGTGATCTTTCCAGGAAAAATATAATAAAAATCAAATAAAATCATTCTGACCGTGAGACAATCGCCGCACCGATTCGTTGCATATTCCAGTGTTGCCACAGTGCCGTTTGTAGGCCAACGGGAGAAGCACTCCAACTTCAGCGATTTTTCCCGCTCCAAAGAATGCGTCAAAGACGCTGAAAATTTGAACGTCCTTAGATTTGCTCGTGATCTTTCCAGGAAAAATATTTTAAAAAATTAAACAAATTGCTTTAACCACGAAATACTAAATCGCAGAGGAATTCCAACACATTTTCAAAATTTGTGATTCTCTCGGTTCTCAACACTGTACTACCGGTAGCCCTAACGAACCTGAGCTACCAGTCCCCCCAATTTCTTGATGTCGGAGGGACTCGTGGTATAATGGGGGCGTTTATCTCGAGAACCTTTCAGCCCAGGCCCCTAGCTGAGCCGAAAGGAAGCGACGCGTTCAAAAAAAAAAAAAAAAAAAAAACCAAAGAGACACAAGACAACAAAACCCAGAGGGTCACCAAACCGAAGAGGGCGGGATGCTGGACCGGATTTCCAGCAGGCAAAAGAGAAGGGCATCCCGATTTCCAGCAGGCAAAAGAGAAGGACGGGAATATTGAGCCGGGGCGAAGTCGCACTAGCAAAGAGAATTCGATTTACCGCCAAAATCTATCTCCAGAAAAGCGGATCCATCGCGATTTTCTGCACCTCTCCGCAAACACGTCCAAATTCAGGCGTTAAATCCGATCCTCTTTGCTTGTGGGACCTCACCCCCGGGGCTTCGACCAGGCAAAAGATGGGGACGGCAATCTGGACCCCGCTTCCAGCAACCAAGCGGGAATTTGGAACCGGTTTCCCACCCTTCTCTTTTTTTTTTTTCTTTTTCTTTTTTTCTCTTGCCTTTCCTTTTTTTCTTTTTTGAATGGTCTGTCCCGCCCTTCTCTTTCACTTGGAATTCTCTCAAGTAGACAGGACACGCAATTGGAATTCTCCAATTCTTGCCTGAAACTTATTCTCCATCGCCCGCACCTCGAGCTCGGTAATGGTCCCAGCATTTTCCGGATTGCTTGTTGAGGAATTCCCGGCCTCAATATTCATTCTGTAATAAAACTGCAAAGTTGAGTTCAAAAAAAAAAAAAAAAAAAAAAAAAAACAATTCTTTTGCTTGAAACATGACATGGAATGAGAGAGGAAATGGAGAGAGAGAGAGAGACAGAAAGAGTCGGTCACCCAACTGTTTCTCAGAGAGAGAGAGGGACATTGGCAACACGTGCTATTCTAACGAAACAGAAGCGCGGGAATCTGGACCCAGTTTCCCGCCATCCTCTTTTGCTTGAAACATGACACGCATTTGCAGACTTCAGCACCAAACTGTTTCCCGCCATTCTCAGACAGGGTTGGCGCAATTCTTCGTTGTCCCCCGTTGGCTATCAAAAGCAGGGCGCGAAGCTAACACTTCGTGGGAACTCCGACATCGGCGCGAAAAGAAACTCCGAGATCGGCGCGAAAAGAAACTCAGATCCACTTGCAGAGCAAACATGTACGAAAGATCAGACTTGGACACTTCTCTACATTTGGAAATACACAAGCGCAATCTGTTTCTCAGAGGAAGAAACAACCAAAACAGGGGAAAAAGAAACAAAAGGGCGACCGACATACGGCGCATGCGCCGTCTTTCTCCCCACTCTCCATCGTCTTTTGCGCTTTCCGGCGATGAAATAGGCGCCGGTAAGGCTGTCCTTATCCATTACCGGCTTTGTTCTCATTTCGCCTCCTCTTCTTCCCGCCGCCGCTCCCTTCTCCCCTTCCTCCCATTCGCGACCACTTTCCTTCGCCTTCCCCTCCCCGCCCTTTCTTCCTCCATCCCCTGCGTAAACATCCAACCACCATAGCCAAGCACGCTTCAAGATCTTCTCCTCCTCCGTCCTCTGCGGTAACATCCAACCACCATAGCCAAGCACGCTTCAAGCTCTTCTCCTCCTCCGTCCTCTGCGATAACATCCAACCGCCATAGCCAAGCACGCTTCAAGCTCGTCTCCTCCCTCAATCCCTTATCGGCATGCTGCGATCGCGCTGCGGCTTAACACGGATCGGGAGCGGTACTCGAAGAACCGCCCAACTGCCACTCATTCTACGGACCTCGCTCCACTACACAACATTTGAATGCAGCTGGACTGCCGTTCTTGGACCAGATACTTTCTCACTGACACAGATTTTGAACGTATCGGGACCATTAGCAGCTCCGGGTACATTTAGAATCTTGTGTAATGGAGCTAGGCCCTACCAGGCATGATCACAAGACCGCAGATACATAGGCGCCTATGATTCAGGAGCGTCATTTCGAAATCCCTTCCCTGCTCGAACAGCTGTCTTTACGCATCGATCAGCATGTTCGTCCAATTATTTCGAAAAATGCCGCCAGTAAAATCATGAAAATGGCCCCAGTCATTCCCCAGTGATTACTATCAACCAAGATTAGCACACGTAAGCTGATCAGGAAGACCTATGTGCCACTGAGAGAGGTCTTATAAGGTCTCCCCTAAATAAACAGGCGGACGCATAATCCGGTAAATCGTCACGTTTACAGCGCCGGATAGAGAGATGCGGAGGTTGAGACGTGGAGAATTTGAGGCGGGGGGAGCGGGGGAGCGGGGGACGGGGAAAAGTGGAAGGGGTACACGGATAGGGGGCAGAGCGACCCAGGAATACACGACTACGAGCTGCGTAGGGTAGCAGGAGGGTAGCCCGGACAGGACGAGGAAGAGGAGGAAGATGGGGAGGAAAAGGAGGAAGAGGAGGAAGAGGGGGAGGAAAAGGAGGAAGAGGAGGAAGAGGGGGAGGAAAAGGAGGAAGAGGAGGAAGAGGGGGAGGAAAAGGAGGAAGAGGAGGAAGAGGGGGAGGAAAAGGAGGAAGAGGAGGAAGAGGGGGAGGAAGAGGGGGAGGAAGAGGAGGAGGAAGAGGAAAAGGAGGAGGAAAGAGAGGAAGAAAAGAGGGATAAAGGGAAAGGAGGTGGGAGTAGTCGGTGCTGCCTACCAGCATACGTGTATCACACCGGAAGTGTCCCGGCAAGATAAGGTCTTGCTGGCGACTCTGGCCCAGAAGCCCCACTCGACGAGACCTCCGACGACCAACAGCGCGAAGGCAGCGAACGCCAGCACGACGTCCTTGTCCTTGAGAGAGTGCTCGTCCAAGTTGCGTTGATTGTACAACGGATCGTAACCTCTATGAGTGAAGTAATCCGGGGCGAAATCGGAGTCACCCCGACTGACTCTCAAACACGTCTGGTTTTTCCAAGAAGAACCCAGAGAACACCACGTCAGCAAGCAATCGCGTTCTGGAATCCTTTCCTCTCCCTGCTGCCTGAACCTGCAATACTCCCTCTGCAGATCATAAGCCAATCTCTGTGGCTGCCGTACGGCCAAGACGCAACACAAAATCACCGCCGTCAGTAAACATATACTCGGGATAGCCCCCCTCAAGAGCCGAAACCCTCGCACC